AACATATCACATATTTTCTATTCAACTTTTTTGTTTAACATAACCAACTGTAAAATGTTGAGTTATTGTTGTTCATTTTCTTAGCTTATATTCTAACGTGAATTGATACTGTAAGATGTTAGAATTTTAGACCAGATTTATCTCCGTTGAGTGATTCTAATTGTTGGATTAACACATAATACAAAACACACATTAAAACACAAAAATACCAATTTGGAGCTTAAATATAAGGATAAAAGCATATCATTGAATGTAATTGTTACCCAACAATAGTTTTATTTAAGCCCAAAAAATTGTTGCATGTAGCGGTGAAAGTTGGAACAAAAAGTTGTTAGGGTCTTAACTTTCAAATTTTGGGACACTTTTTCTTATTTTGATTTTCATAATTTCGGATTGTTTTTTTCAATCAAATTTTAATTTTTGGAAAATATCAAATTGTTGTTTTATTTTCCTTTTGTTTTTTATATCACATATAAATTACAAATATTTTACTTAGTGAAAAAATAATCAGAGATCTAAGATTTTTTGCTACATTCAACCACCGCGCAATTGTGGTATTTGTACAAAACTTAGATAATTTGTCTATTTTCTTTCTTTCTCCATTGCAAATTATGTTTCTATATTTCAGTTATATCGTTGTTATATGTGGTTGATGTTGATTATATGATGTTTTTTAGATTTAAAATGAGTCATTTGTCAAGTTAATGTTATTATTTATAAAAACCTCGGAGCTCCTATTTTCTGAAAATTTATGAAATTTTCCAAAAGATTTGATCATGTCCTAAGGCGGTGACGCGGTGTTTGCAAAAACTTATTTAAAAGTTGAAGTTTTGGATTGTGAATTAAGTTGGTTTTAAGTGCTTATTTCAAAAAAAATGAGGTATTTGCAAATTTAGTGGAAAATAAACATAAATAAAAAAAGAAGGGTTATGAATGTTTAACAAATTATAGCTTAAAGTTGCTTATTTTAAGAGAAATAAAAGCAAAAGTTCATTTTACAAACACTTAAAAATGGACTATGAATAAAAAAAACTCATAATCTATTGTAAAAGTGTTTGCAAACACCACCTAAATGTCCAAAAGATTCGAAAATTCAAAAGCATTTGAAAATAAAATAGATTTCTAAATTCTGAATTTTTTGGAATTTGAATAAGAAGTGACTTTGTGCTTCAAACAAAATTAGGAACTCCGAAGAAGCCGATTTTAATACATTCTATCCGATTTTCAATCTAGTAGTAAGGATACTTTTGAAAGTAAGACTAAAAACATCTTATGTTAAGAAAAATAAAAGCAAAAACGACATTTATATACACTCTAAAATTAATTATGAACCAAAATAAAAATATAGGGTTTGTCACAAACACCCCCTCGAATTATAAAACGTAACAAAATGACCTCTCCGTTTACAATCTATTAGTTGATGATGATGTGGCATGTTGACTTTATCAATTATAATTGTTTTTTTTCATTTTTTATTATTTGTCGCTTTTCCCCCTATATATATATATATATATATATATATATATATATAAACATCTGAATTGAGAAAAAGAAAATCTCTCCAACTATTTTCCCCAATCTGTATTACCTCTGTGTTTTTTTACATGGGAACAAAAGTTTTTTATTTCTTCCACTTTTTTTCGAACAAAATCAAAGCCATCCTACACGCACGCTCCTCTTTCGACCCTCAACAACACCTGTCGCTGCTCCGCCGCCTTATTTGTTATCAAATATGAAAATCTTCTCAAATCAATAAAATGGCCTCTGCATATATAAACTCGAAGCCTTTGTAATTTGACTCCGATTACGGTGAATAATAAATCGCGGATCATCTTAATCCGACTCCAAACAAACCCAGATCGCCAAAAAAGCAGGCATCTTTGCCATTGGCAACCATCAACAAATATAAATCGCACTTATAACAACCTTCATTGTCTCCAGGGTGAGGAGGAATCCGAATCCGAATCCAATGGTTCCGACCTGAAAGTCAACAGATAGCACCCAAGCCAACTGGTGACCCACCAAATCCAACAACAGTGCTAGAAAGTCCAATGCATCCAAAGCCAATGCTTCCGTTACTCACTCCGGTGAAGTCCATCGGCACAAAATGGGTCATCGACGATGATAAACAGTTGTTGCGCCTCAGTTGGATTTGTGAACTTACTATGTTTGTTCATTATTTGTATCTGGCTTCTCAAGTAATGGGTGAACGTGTTGTGTGGGAACAGTGGATTAAGGGCAGTTAAAATTACAGTCGGACATTTTTTCGCTCTTGGGAGAGATAATAAACTCCATGGTGAGGATGATGCCACGTCAGTTGGACTCCCCTAATTTAATTTCGCAGCATAAAGTAAAAAGGGTAAAAATGTAAATGCACATTATTTTTAACGGTGTTAAATTCCTAATGTTTGACTGTTAAAGTCATGGACTATTTTGTTACGTTTTATAGTTTAGGGGGGTGTTTGAGACAGATCCCATAGTTCTGGGGTGCAACATGTACTTTCCCTAAAAATAATAACCTATTATCAAAACCTTTTGCAAACATGACCTACACATTATTTTTAAGGGGTTATTTTACATGCCTCCTAGATACCAAATAAATTAGGGATAAATCCAAGCCCAAATCATCTTTTGACATACCGCCCTGTAGAAGCGAAAGTTCCATACTACCCTTATATGCAATTTTCGGCCAAACTGCATTCAACATTTCTGGTCCTGCATTTATCATTTTCACTTATTTATTTATTTATTTTTATTATTATTATTATTATTATTATTTTTATTATTATTATTATTATTATTATTATTATTATTATTATTTTTATTTTTATTATTATTTTTATTTTTATTTTTATTTTTATTTTTATTTTTATTTTTATATATATATATATATATATATATATATATATATATATATATATATATATATATATATATATATATATATATATATATATATATATATATATATATATATATATATATATATATATATATATATATATATATATATATATATATATATATATATATATATATATATATATATATATATATATATATATATATATATATATATATATATATATATATATATTAATTTTTAATTTTTTTTAATTTTTTAAATTTTCAAAATAATATGTTTATTGTGCTGAAAATAACTACATGTAACTATAGTAATTCGCAGTTATGTTCATTTTTTTTTCCTCATATTTTTAGTCGATCAATTGTATACACACACGAATACTGGCTTATACAAAAGAAATTCATATACCTCAACAAATATTTAAATATGTCAATATTTTTATTATAAATCACCTGAGAACCAAATAAAAATACAAAATCGAAAATACACAAATATATGCATAGATAACTAATATGTTACTATATGTATAGTAATGTATAGTAATATATACAGTTTGTTGAACACTGTTTCACATGTAACTTCAACCAAATTTTTGACACCTTCAAGCAGAGGATCAATGGCTTTCATTAAGCTGCAATTGCAAAATCAAAACAAAAAAAAATTACTTAGTTGCAAATCAACAAAATTTGAAGAAACATCAAAACACTCAAAAATCAACAAACACTAAGAGATCGAGAGATAGAGAGAGAGAGGTTATTGCTGGGAAATGCTACAGATTTTAAATCAAACAGTCAGTGACTCCTCACCCCCTCGCCTCCTACCAAAACCCTAGCCGCCGCTTATAACCACCCACGGTTCCGTGCACCCACAAATGCAAAAAAAATATAGAAATAAATATGAAAACATAAAAATAAACAAGATTACCATCAAATTATAGATCTCGACGAGAGGAATCCAACGGTGGGTAGTCCGTCAAATTTCGACTAGTGGAACACAAAGAACACCTCCAGCAAGACCATCGTCGTCGAATGAAAAAAAATTGCAGAAACAGATCTGCTCTCCAAACTGAATGAAATCACCACCAAAAGAAAGAGCCCGACGAGAGGAATCCAACGGTAGTTAAACCATCAAATTCCGACCACCGGAGAGAGAGTTATGGCTCCGGGAAGCAATTTCACCGGTGGGAGGTTTGAGAAGGCGGGATTTTGAATCTGGGACAAGAAGAGAGAGGCCGAAATGTGAATGTTTAGGGTTTAAAACTAATTTTAAAAGAGTATTATAGGTACTTCAGAATAGCGCTGGGAGTATGTCAAAATATTTTCGAAATTAGGGGGGTTTCCCTTAGAGTGTAATCCACTTGGTAGTTATTCTATATAATTTGGGAACGAGGGTGGTCTACAAAATAATCCCTATTTTTAAATTGATTATGACTTTTATTTCAATTTTTTCAAGTATTCACAAAATAAAAATAATAAAGAAAAAGAAAAAAAGAAAGAAAGTTTGACAAGTATAAGGAGTAAAAGTGGGTTAGAACATTCTATTGAAGAACAGTAGATAGGCGCGTGTGTTTGTAATAACTAATAACAATACTGCTACTAAGAAAGAAGAAGAACCCAGCACCCAATTACACAAACTCAACTACACCTTATTCAATTATCAATATTCAATTCATAATAAAAATAAATAAATAATTATACCATATTCTCTCTCTCTCTCTCTCTGCACTAACTCCATTGCTCTCCCTCTCTACTTTCTCTCTCTACCCTCCCCCTCTCTCTCTCTCTCTACTGCTGCTGCTGCTATAAATTCCAAACCCCCAAACCCTTGTCTGATTTCCCCAACATCACTACTGTTTCACAATAATAACCCATCGCCGGAGCCACCAGCTCCCACGTATTTACCGCCGCCGTCGTCCGCCATGGAAATCCGGCGGCTAGAGGCGTACTCCGCTGAAAATGCACACATGAGCCACGTCACTCCCTCCAGAAATAAACCAGTCAAACTACCGAATCCTCCCACATACATAAAATCACAGTGACCAAGAAAACAAGTGCTTACATTTATTTTGTACTGTCACACAACAGTGGTTAATTATACTTTGTATACGTATAATTTTCCTTTTTGTTTTTTTTTTTTTTTTTTATAATAATAAAGAAAAATCAATAATGGCTGCACCAAATGCGGGTGCATTAGCGGTGGTGGAGTCCACCTCCGGCGGCGGCGCCGCTGAGGAGATGGCGGCGAAGGCGGTACAGAAGAGGTACGAAGGGTTGGTGATGGTACGGACGAAGGCGATAAAGGGGAAAGGGGCATGGTACTGGGCCCACCTCGAGCCGATTCTCGTCAACAATTCAGACACCGGCTTGCCGAAGTCGGTGAAGCTGCGCTGCTCCCTATGCGACGCCGTATTCTCCGCCTCCAATCCCTCCAGAACCGCCTCCGAGCATCTCAAGCGCGGCACCTGCCCCAATTTCTCCTCCTCCCCCAACCCCATTTCTTCTCTCCCTTCCTCCTCCGCCGCCACCACCACCGCCACTGCTTCTCCCTCCTCCTCTCACCCTCCCCACAACCACCGCAAGCGCGGCTCCTCTTCCACCCGCAGCCGCGCCTCCTCCGCCGCCGCCGGTAACATCACATCATTTTCACCCCACCACAACAACAACGCTCCCCAACCCCTAGCCATTGTCGACCCTTCAAGATTCATGGTCGATTTAGCCTACCCACCATCAGTCGTTTCAATCGCCACCAATTCCGCCGCCCCTAGCCCCTCCGCCGTCTCCATCGCCGCCGCCTACAGCCACCACCACCACCACCCCCACCAGCAGCAAAATCAGCAGCAGCAGCAACTCGTTCTATCGGGTGGGAAAGAAGATTTGGGAGCTCTAGCAATGCTAGAAGACAGCGTGAAGCGGCTGAAGAGCCCGAAAGCATCGCCGCCGGGGCCCACATTGGCCAAAGCACACGTCGACTCCGCACTCGATTTCCTCGCCGATTGGGTTTTCGAGTGCTACGGTTCCGTCTCATTCTCAAGCCTCGACCATCCCAAATTCAAAGCCTTCCTCAACCAGGTCGGACTACCTCCTTTGTCGAGGCGGGAGCTCGCCAGCACAAGATTAGACGCCAAATACGAGGAGGCCAAAGCCGAGTCCGAGGCGAAAATCCACGACGCAATGTTCTTCCAGATTTGCTCCGACGGTTGGAAGCCGAAGGAATATCATCACGCCGGGGAAGAGAATCTCGTACATTTGTCCGTAAACCTCCCGAACGGAACCAGCGTGTTCAGAAGGGCCGTCTTCACGAGCGGCTACGTCCCGTCGAAGTACGCGGAGGAGATTCTGTGGGATACGATAACCGAGATTTGCGGGGGATCCGTGCAGCAGTGCGTCGGCATCGTTTCCGACAAGTTCAAAGCCAAAGCATTGCGGAATCTGGAGAACCAGCATCCATGGATGGTGAATCTCTGCTGTCAGTACCAAGGCTTCGCCTCTCTGATCAACGACTTCGGTAAAGACCTTCCTCTGTTCAAAATTGTCGCCGAGAATTGCGTAAAGCTCGCATCTTTCGTCAACAGCAAACCTCAAATACGACGCAGCTTCCACAAATACCAGCTCCAAGAATACGGGCACGCCGGTTTGTTGAGAGTACCCTTTCGAAATTTTCAAACCTCCGATTTCGGGCCAATCTACACCATGGTAGAGGACATACTGAGCTCGGCCCGAGCTCTGCATTTGGTGCTGCTCGACGAGTCGTACAAGATCGTATCGATGGAGGAGCCGATCGCGAGAGAAATCGAAGAAATGATGAGGAAACCCCAATTCTGGAATGAATTAGAAGCAGTGCATTCTCTCGTCAAATTAATCAAAACGACGTGCCAGGAAATCGAAACGGAGAAGCCACGGATCGCGCAATGCCTCCCACAATGGGAAGAGCTCCGGGTAAAAATTAAAGAATGGTGCTCGAAATTTCACGTTGCGGAAGGGCACGCAGACAAGGTGCTCGATAAAAGGTTCAAGAAGAATTACCACCCCGCTTGGTCCGCCGCCTTCATACTCGACCCGCTCTATCTGATCAGAGACGCCAGCGGCAAATACCTGCCGCCGTTCAAATACCTAACTCCCGAACAAGAAAAAGACGTGGACAGGCTAATAACTCGTCTCGTATCGAGAGAAGAAGCTCACATTGCACTAATGGAGCTAATGAAATGGAGAACCGAAGGGCTCGATCCCGTTTACGCTCAAGCTGTGCAGTTGAAGCAGAGGGATCCGATTACGGGGAAAATGAAGATCGCGAACCCTCAGAGCAGTCGGCTCGTGTGGGAGACTTATCTAACGGAGTTCAAGTTGTTAGGGAAGGTGGCGGTTAGGTTAATTTTTCTGCACGCAACTTCTTGCGGGTTTAAATGCAGTTGGTCTCTGATGAGGTGGATTAGCGCCCATTCGCATTCGAGGGCCGGAATGGACCGAGCCCAGAAGTTGATATTTATCTCGGCGCATTCGAAAATGGGGAAACGGGAATTTTCGAGCGATGAAGATAAGGATAATGCGGAGGTTTTCGGCCTCGCGAATGGTGAGGACGACGTGCTCAATGAAGTCTTTGTTGATACTTCCTCTGTGTAAGATTTCCCGTTTCGCCCCTCTCTCTATATGTATTCTGATATTTGAATTCGTCGAATTTTTTATCTACTCGAATTCTTTTAATGATATGGTATTTAATTTCGATTGCTGTTAGAATATGGGTGCGCTAGGGCTAATTCGGATTAGAGAAATATTTTTTCCTCGGAAACATGGATTGAATGAAAGATTGAGAATATTCTTTGTTCGAACATTTGATTGTTTTCGATTTTTTTTAATTAGATTAATTCCAAATGTACCGCTCGATCTTCCCATGCTTTTTTTTTTCTGCTGACACGAATTCGCTAATTAAAAACTTAAGGATGCACGTCTTGTTGAAAGTTAAATTTGCAAAAAAATGGTTCTCGGGATTTTTTTTATATTTGAATTCCGTATAAGATTTCGATCGACTCCCGTTCATTTGAAGTACGGTATAATTACATTTTCTTGGATCCCTTGTGTAATTTATTTTCTAGAAGGGGAATTGCTTGGTCATAATGCATATGGTAGGTTCATCAACTAGTTTGTGGCTTATGATTGTAGCTATATAGTCCTTTTTATCCTATCATGTACACTTTTATGATTAATTTCGGTTGTTATAGCCGCCCTTGAAATCAATTGCAATCGAGAGTTACGTTTTTACTTCTCATAGTCTCAATATCTAAAATATCGAAATATTGAATTAATTGACGCAAAAGTAGGACTCGTGATTCTAAACTCAGCGAGTGGTCGTAGTCCATGTTTTCTTTTGATTCTTGTTATAGTGATGCCGGTTTAATTTTCCCGATGGCAGAAGCATTTGACTCGAATTGTGAAACGATGGCACGTAGTATACAAGAGAAGACCAGCCCGAGGTTGTAAGAATCGAAAAAAGAGGGCTTTTAAGACACTAAGTTTTGTTGCCTTAACCAACTACCTTTGAAGACATATAATCAAATGTGTTGAGCTGGATTATCAGCACTTGAATATTCTTGTTAATTAACCCCACCATGGACAAAGTTGTCTTATAGAGGGGGCGGGGCCGGACGCCCCCCCTGAATTTGTCTAAACCATGGTTAGGGTAATTATATAATACCTTGGAGGTTAATATTTTCGAAACTCTACATGATGCATGGAGGCGTTGCGAGA